ATCATAGTGGTGAAATCCAATTTTTCAATAAGACTTGGATGATGGAGGTTTACAAATGATAAGTTCTAATCAATGAGGTTTGCTAAAATAAAATCTTTTCTTGATGATGGGTTAAATGAAAGAATTTTGGGTGAAATTGGGTGGGTAGGTATTTTAAATGTCCTGAATCTGATGGAAGAGATGGATAATTGATCCGATATGTGCATCAAGAGATGTGTTTCAGATCAAGGTTTTAGTTTATGGTTCATCATTTAATTAGAAGGGTTAAAACTGTTTAAAGGTCAAATAGTAGAATTAGGTCATAAAACTTAAGGTATGAGAGTTTTTTGTGTCTCTAATCAGGGTGGTGAGGTGTGATTGGTTAAATGAGGTTTGGATGATTGAGATAGGGGGTGATCATGGGTCGGGTTGGGCTTAGCACTAATGACAAGGGCTTTAAGCTAGTCTCGGACCCGATCCGATCCGCATCTCGGGCCTAGTTTGCAAGCCCAAGCCTAGCCCTACATGGGCCCAAGCCAGGTTTATTGGCTTTCCGGTCCTAACGAGATAGGCCCATGACATCAAATAATTAAACTTAATTAATTTATTTTTTTTTTAAATTAAATAATTTATAAATATAATACATACAAAAAGACAACACAAACCAAAGTTAAATTGGCCTTGGTTGGGCTTTAGGCCTATGGTACAAAAAATAAGACATGAGCCTCATTTAATTGTTAAACCTGATTTAGCTTTTATAGATGAAGGCAAGGCCTTCATTCCCATTCTTGAGCGTGGGACTTGGAATAACACTAAATAGCTAGTGCAACTATTGAGTGTTTTCCTAAGTTCCATATTGCTTAAGAAATGAGAATGAAGGCTTTGCCTTCACCTATATAAGGCCTTGGTTAGGAAGACAATTCCATACTTGAGTTTACTCAAGTGTTGAGACATGCATTGACACATTTCAATTCATAAATATTTATTTATATATTAAAATGAAAGTTAAAACTTTTATATTTGCGGGTTGGGCTTGAAGTATTAGGCCCAATCTCAGCCCTAAATTTTTTGGGCTTGATACAGGCTCGGCCCATGCTCAAGCTGGGCTATATACAAAGATCTAGGCCCAACCCCGAAAATTTTTGAACTAGGCTAGGTCAAGTTTCTGGGCTGGGCCAAGAATGATTACCCCTACATGGAGATCTATAGTTGATAGTCTCTAATCTATGAGCTTTGCTGAAATAGAATCTTGGCTTCATAGTAAATCAAATAAGGAAATTTTGGCTTATGGCTTATTGATCAGAGGTGTAGATTGAAAGATTTAATTCAAATAAAAGTTTTAGTTTATGGCTTATCAATCAATGAGAATTCTTGAAATGGAATATTGCTTATTTAACATCAAATGAAGGAATTATGTCATGAAACTTTAGGTAGAGGGATTTTTGGGTCTCTAATCATGGTGATAAGGCCTAATTAATCGATTAAGGTTTGGATGATGGATAGCTAAGGCTTTATTTCTATAATTTTTTATATTTATTGAAATTTTTAATAATATATTTTTGCAATTTTATATATATGTTATGGGTTTTCATGTAATTTTTGAAGTTTAATTCACTTTGGACTGAATTGGGCCCAATTTGATCCATTTGCATTTCAATTAGACTAGATTGGATTTGGTTTGCATAGATTTGGACTGGATTACCTATGTTGGATTGGATTGGACCAAATCCAATCAAATTAACAGTCCTAGGTGTGTATTCATGACTATAATGTTACGATGAGCTGAGGAGAAGAAAAAAATAAATAAAAGAAAAAAAGGAAGGAGGACAGGAAGAGAAGGATGATTGCTAAGGAGGGAAGATTTTCTGGTTTGGATGGGTGAGTGATGAATCTACCGAATTGGTTTAGTTCGGCAATGAACAAGAGATGAAAAGATGATGGTGTGGTTGGAATTAGGGGTGTAAAGGGATCGAATTCGAATCGGATCAGACGATATCCAAATTCGAATCCGATTAAAAAATTTGATATCCAAATTCGATTCAATATCTGATGAATATTGAAAGCTAATATTCGAATATTCGATTCTATTCGAATTTGACTAATTAATTATTTTAGATAATTAATAAATATATAAAATAAATATTTTATTTATATAAAGTATAAAAATATATAAATTATTTATATAATTTAATTATTATATGTATAAATTATATAAAACATTTAAAAAATTTATATATTATATATAAGAATTAAATAATCGATCAAATTTGGATATTTATCGAATTGAATCAGGTCATATCCGATCCGATCGATTGAATATTTGAATTATCCGAATTCAATTTGATTATACTGAATCTCGGATTCAAAATCGGATTTTCAAATACCATTGACACCCCTAGTTGGAATAAGAGGGAGAAGAGGAGGATGGGGATATTGCCAAATAATGGGAGTTCGACAAGAAATTGGGGAAGAAGCCAGGTTAGTTGTTACCCTTTCGGATGCTCTTTTCTCACCGAAGTAAATGATGAACAGTGCCAAACAGTAGATTAGCTTGAATAAAGAAGTTTAACCGTATTTTGTAATTTTGGGGGAGAAAAAGGGTCAAACTGAAATTCTAGTCAAATGGCCAGGATTTTTTTGGACCAATGAGGGAATGGTAGAGATGGGCTTGAGGATATAGGTTGGTCACATGTGCACGGGGCAATAGGATTGACAGAAACAAAACCATTTTAGTTGAAGGGGTAAATCATTGTATTTTTGGGTAAAAAATTAATAGATAGGGTTTTGGGTATTTTGGATCAATTGGTGGAGTTAGACTGGCCCAACTATACTTAGATTAGGTAGATCTGGATGGGAATGGTTCAGTCAATAATAAGCTTTGAAATAGAATCTTTGTTAGGTGAATGGATTGACAATGGAATGTTAAGTTGGAATTTGGTGGATAGGCATTTTAGGGTGTCTAGGGTCCAATGGCAGTGTTTGATGGGCACAGGTAGGCTTAGATCATGGGAATCCAGGGTATGTATGTTTTGGCCAATGAGAGAGCTCAGAATAGTTTCATAGGTATTTACTAGATTGATGGGAGACTTATTTGAGGTTGGCATAAATAAAAGGTTAAAGAAGACATGAAAAACTAAGAAGAAAAAAGAGGTCTTGATTCCTAAGGATTGGAAGGAAGGGTGTGAGGATTGCATAGGGTAAGGGGTTCTTTTGGTGGCCGGTCTCTGCCTGATTGGCTTAGAAAGATGGGGGATAAGTTTTTCCAAAACTATGCCTTTCCTTTTGGGTTTTGCATATTGGAGGTTTTTGAGTTTATTGTTTTGATTTCGTATTAAATAATCGAAACTGAACTAGTATCTTGGTTTTTCAAAATATTCGAACCAAAATTAAATGGACCAGTTGGGTTCAGTTTTTTAGTTTTTTATGAGTATACTACATTCAAATTTTAGTATTAGGTGTCAAGTCGCTATCTTTATTATCTTCATCAGCAAAATTGTCTTGAAACACGTGGACTAGGAGACAAGAGTCTCCTATGTATCATTTTTTAGGCTTCGTGGGGCACAAAACGGGGATAGCCCATCCCTATTTCTTTAACTGGCCTGCGCCATGAGTTGATCATCATTTTACAATTCATTAATAACATTGGAACTAATAGATGGGTTCCAAATATGGAATAATCTAATGACCTGTACTATTTATTTTAAATTTTATTATTTAGATGGTCAGATTTTATAAAATACTACTAAGTGAAAATTTCATATTAGTATCCTATACTTTGGGTTTAGTGTCATTTTGGTTTCCGAACTTTAAAACTCCACAATTTAGTATTCAAGCTTTCAAAAAGTGTTAATCTAGTACCTGCCATTAATCAGTCCGTTAATCAGCCATTAAGTGTCATTTGAAAAGACACAAATGCCCTTTAATTGTCATCTAATTCTCTTTATCAATCATCTAAACATTGACAAAAAATAAACAGTCTCAAATCCTTGTCTCTTCTATTCAAGAAAGTTGGGGTTGTCTTAGTGGGCATTCTGGGGTTATGTCTCAGAAGAGACAAGGATTTGGGACCGTTCATTTTTTATTAACATTTGAATGATTGATAAAAAAGAATTAGATGACACTTGAAGGGTATTTATGTCTTTTCAAATGACACTTAACAGCTGATTAATGGCAAATACACTTTTTAAAAGTTTGGGTACTAAATTATAGCGTTATGTGGCACTAGACCCAAATTACAAATTACTAATCTGAAATTTTCCCTATTAATTAAATATTAGATGGTTAAGAGTGATCTGGTCATTTTGATTTCTACTCCATCCTCCAGGTAATTTCCTATCAAGTGGTTGTGCCCATCCTTTAATTTGTTTCAAACATTTCAATGCAAGAGCAAAAGATTAATGACTAAACGATATTAAATAATCCAATTATTCATGTTGGTAGTAAAATAATAATGTTATGTGCAGTCAACCTTTTTGAACATTTCTTATATTTAATTAGAAATTGGAAGTTTTGCAACTTCAAGGAAGCTGTCCTTAGAGGTCCTTCTCCGCAGCTAGCTAAGATCCATATAGAAGATTATTGCGTGGGTCATGTTCAAGCAATTAAACTAGAAATCCAATCTCACCAAATGACTGCAACTGAATAGTTTTTTATTAGACACTGAAAGAGATTTGAGGCATGCTTGACCCTACAGTGAGGAAGGCCTCATTTTAACAACAATCAACACAATAAAAATTTTATTGTGGACTGGTTCTGAAAGATCAATTTTAATGTCGTTTTCTCATAATAATCTAGAAATTAGGTGGTGCTGCTTTTCTTGGTGGTTGAGGAACCCTCCTCTAAGCAGATGGAATCCTTCCTTGGTTCTTTCTTATGGTGTCATGTCGTGGAACTTTTCCATGAAATTTCTGTAATATAAAAGATCGAGATCGATGTGAAGGAATTAATAATGGTGTGCCTAGCCCAAAACAAGTGAGGGGAAGCTTATCCAAAGAGTGATCTGAGTACTGAGAAAATTAATCATGGCGGAGATTTCAGTGGAGTTCTTGATTAATAAGGTAACTTCAATCATCCATAAAGAGGCTGCCTTGTTATCAGGAGTCCAGGATGAGTTCAACGCAATCAAGTTTGAATTAGAGACTCTGAGAACCTTAGCACGGGATGCAGATCAAAGGAGTGGGCTTGAGGAAGGAGTGAGAAGTTGGGTGGCTCAGGTCAGGGAAGCAGTTCATGAAGTGGAAGACATAATTGACGAATTCATGTATTGCATGCACAGCCAATCTAATGGTGGAAGATTCAAGCGTCTAGTCTTTAAACCCATGGATCTCTCCAAAATTATTATAGCAAAGCGTCAGACTGCAGCAAAATTACATGCAGTGATCACCAAAATGAGTGAGATTTCAGAGAGAAGCGAGCGCTACTGTATCAGAAGCATAGAAGGGACATGCCTTTATGATGCCCACGTGAAGCTGCAGCACCATGGAGACTCATCTCGCTCTGTGAAAGATGACGATGTGGTGGGAATTGAGAAAAACAAAAATCTGATACTGTCATGGCTTAAGGACAGAGAACTAGATCGTAAAGTGATTGTGGTAGTTGGAATGGGGGGTTTGGGGAAGACTACTTTGGTCGCCAAGGTTTTCAGCAGCCCAACAGCCAGAAGACATTTCGACTGCATCGCTTGGGTGACTGTCTCCAAGATTTATGTGATCGATGATATACTCAGGAGAATAGTAAAAGATCTTTTTAAGGGAAAGAAGGAACTGTTTCCTGCATACTTGAGCTCAATGGATTACAGACGGCTAGTGGACTTTCTGATCGACTTTCTGGAGCAGAAAAGGTACTTCATTGTCCTAGATGATGTTTGGACTCTTAATCTTTGGAAGGAAATATTTGATGCTTTCCCAAGTAGAAAACATGGAAGTAGAATCGTGATAACAACTCGGAAAATGGACATAGCTTCATCCTCATATGGAGTTAGAAGTCATGTTCTTCCTCTTCAGCCTCTAGATGACAAAGATTCATGGGCTCTCTTCTGTAAAATTGCATTCTCATGCTATCCCCACAGATTTTGTCCCCCACATCTTGAGCCCGTGGCCCCAGTACTTGTGGGAAAGTGTGGAGGCCTACCACTTGCAATCACATCTATGGCTGGCCTCATGTCCTTCAAGGGTTCCACAGAACCAGAATGGCTGAAAGTCCATGACAGCTTGGGTTGGGGGATTAACAACAATGGTTTGCTTGGAATTGACAGTATACTGTTTTACTGCTTCAGTAGCTTACCCTATGGCCTGAAGCTCTGTTTGTTGTATTGCTGTCTTTTTCCGGAGGATTATTTAATTCGAAGGAAGAGGATTATCAGGCTGTGGATAGCAGAGGGGTTTGTAAAAGAAACAGGAGGAAAGGCTATGGAGGAGGTAGCAGAAGCTTACCTTACAGAGCTCATTTCCAGGAACTTGCTTCAAGTTGCTTCCAGGAATTCATTTGGTATGGTGAAGGAATGTAGGTTGCATAATATTCTGCGCGATGTGCTCCTTTCCATAGCAGAAAGGGAGAATTTCTGTGTCATCTATGATGGAATAGAAGCAAGGGAAGTGGGTAGTGCTCGTCGCTTGTCCTTGCACAAGATTGATAGGCAAATTGAATCATGCACCACAACTGCCATGTCCAATCTTCGCTCTTTCTTTCTGTTTCCTGCTAAGAGGTCCTCTGCATCTCGTCTGAGTGGTTTGCAATTTGGGTTTAGACTATTAAGGGTTCTTGATCTGCAGGGAATCCCAATCGAGAGAATACCAGATGCAGTCGTTGATTTATTTAACTTGAGATACTTGAGCTTGAGGGAAACTATGGTTGCAGAGATACCCAGATCATTGGGAAGACTTCAGAACCTACAAACTCTGGATATTAGAGATACCAAGGTGACAGAGCTTCCAAATGAGTTAGTACAGTCACAGAGCTTGCGCCATTTGATTACTTATCGTCGCACGCTCAGTTGGGCAGCTTTTCGATATGTAGATGGCATGCGAGTTCCATCAGACATATGGAAGATGAAAGAGCTGCGAGTCCTGGAATGCGTTGAAGCAGAAGGTGACATGATCAAGCAACTTGGGAACATGACGCAGCTTACAAGGATTGGGCTAACAAAGTTGGCTGAGGATGATGGAAGAGATCTCTGCTCCTCACTACAGAGTCTGCAACTTCTTTACTACTTGTTTTTAATGGCAGAAAACGAGGATGAATCGCTTGAACTGGATTCCCTATGGACTCCTCCTCCCCTTCTCCGAGTGCTCATTCTGGTTGGAAAACTGAATAATATGCCACACTGGTTTCGTTCCCTGGATAACCTTACAAGCTTGTATCTTCACTGGTCACAACTAAGAGAAGATAATCTCCCTTACATCCATACCTTACCCAATTTGGGGTGTCTCACACTTGCTAATGCATTTAATGGGCACAGGCTGTTCTTTCATGCTGGAGGGTTCCTCAAGTTGAAGACACTACGCTTATGGAATTTATCGCAACTGCGTCTTATAAAGATAGAGAAAGGAGCAATGCCCAGTATCCAGGAGCTGGATCTACGGATTCTGAAGAAGCTGGAGAGGCTTCCCCAAGGTATTGAACACCTTATCAACCTGAAAATATTAACCCTGATGGATGTACACAAGAAAATTGTAGAAAGTTTGTATGATGACAATAGCATGGATCGTCCCAGTGTTCAACATGTTCCAGAGATCATTTACTATCATACAACAAAATCTGGATTGTTGAACTCTGAAAATCTATCATGATACTTCAAGGATGGTTACTCTAAAGCAAATTAATGTAAAATCTCAGATTTTGATTTCAGTGGCTTTGACTATTCAATGCTATATCTCTGATTAAGATTTGTTTACTTGTATAGATTTTACCCTTCTTTCTTTTTTCCTTGTGTGTTTTAGCCCCACTCATCAATCATGTATATGTGAATGCAATGAAAGATTGTTCTAATTTCTATTGAGTTTAACTTTATATCCAGAATCAACCTTGTTCACTTTGGTAAAATCTTTCTATGGCAGAGTTTCTAATTTTCTATTGAGAAATAAGCCATCTTGAGTACATAAATATTTTTAGTACTGTATAAATAAGTGATTGCAGAAAACTCACAATGAGGTTGAGGAGAAAATGAATGAATAATGCAGGAGACAATTGGAGTAGAGCAAGATCCAAGATATAATAGGAATTAACCACTGTAAGGAATCAACTAGGGAGATAAGAGCAAGATACAAGCAGAACTCCTTCAAAAGCAAAAAACTCAAATTCATCCAACCAAAATTTGGATATGCCCTGACTTGTAGGACTTGGTGGTTTGTATAAATTTGCTTGAAACAACCTCACTTTTTTTTTTTTCTTGAAGGACAGATTTTGTGGCGGGAATGGATTTTGGGATTCTAGAACCTGTACGGGTATTGGTAGGGTATGATATTAGGCTAAACCCAACCCTCCAGACACGTATATTATTGGAAAGCATATGAATTTTATGTATTAGGATTTGAATTTAATAATATTTTGAATTTTATGTGAAGAATAATTGATAGTTTATGTGTTTTTTACATGTCTTAATCAAATAATTGGAAATTTTGTTGTTTGCTCATGTTGTTTTACATAATTATTGCTTATATATAATAACAAAATTAAAATAATAGGAAATTAGAAGCAGGTTCTAAATCCAACCCACTCTACCCTTGAATGCAGGGAGGGTAGAGTCAAGGAGGGTGTTACGTTTTTATATGCGGAAAAGGTTTGGATTTTCAAAATCCAACCTGCTATGGATTTTGGAGCGGGTGAGGGTAGAAAGGTTTAGGGAGGTTGGTAAGATCTAGAATTTATAAAACACTCCCTAACCTGCTCTGTTTGTCATCACTAGCAGGGTTGAATAATTTATCAAGAAACTATTTTTATTTTATTAATTATTGAAAGCTAAGGAAAGGAAAATTCCATTCAACAATAATCAAGTTAATGCACCACTTTTCCTTTTTGAGATAGAACATAGTTCGACATACTTGTTAGGAAAAGGTATGAGCAAAGTCTGGATCCGCTGCAGACTTGCAGTCTTAAAGCAGTGAACTCTGCTGTAGATCCAATAACTAAATGCCCTCATTCTTTACACGTGGTGTTCTTCCTATGTGTGACAATTAACAGAATATAGAAAATATTTCTTTCATTATTTATCAAACTTCACATTCCTCCCTCTCTCTTTCTTAACCTTTCTTTCTTCCCCAAACCCTCATCTACATGTTTTATTACAAGACTTTTGAGAGCTTATATGCAGTTCCTTGTTCTCTTTTACCCCCGATCTGATTTCAGCTATAGATGTAATCTGAAAGTATAAGGCGCTATTTGGGTAGACTTCTACTTTTGTACTTTTAACAGTATTAAAGTATAAAGTACAAAAAATGTTTTTACTTTCATGTTTTTGTTTTGAAAACCGTTTGGGTAAAAAAAATTTATAAAGTACGCATTCAGGAACAAAAGAACCATTTCCTGTTTGATAAAAGCACGTTTGTCTATGCTTCTGGTGATGGTTTCCGGTGGTTTAGTAGCTGAGACCAGTGACGGTGGTGTAACTCTATAGCGGCGAACGGAGGTAAAGCTGAGAGTTGTATTGGAGAGTGGTCATGTTTTCATTCGCATGAAAATGAAAGTACTATTTTGCCAAAAACACGAAATATAAAAGTCGACTTCATGCTTTTGAGAGTTTTTATATTTTTAAAAAGTATAAAAACAAAAACACAATACAAACACTATATCGTACATTTATACTTTCAACGGTACGAAAATACTTTATAGAAGTCTATCCAAACAGGGCCTAGTCAGCCCCCTGCTTTGAGAAACTAAAATGGTGTTAAAAGCCATGCGATACTTCTGATGTATCGTCAGTTTGTCCTCCAAGCTTTTCATACCAATAACAGATTCGATGTCTTTTCATACTACGAACAAATTCGATAGTCCTCTTATGTATCTCCAATGAGACTGAACATATATACAAGATTGTGTGCCAAGCACGTACAAATATTGAGGAAGGACTCGGCAGTCTTGATCTCCTTATGAACACCATCCTCCTAGATTTCACTCCGGCCACCTGTGTAAAGAACAAGTGGTATTAGTTATTGGTGTACAGCAGAGTCCACTACTTTGAGACCACAGCAGATCTGGATTCGTATGAGCAGCACCATTTCCTTTATGTGGAATTAATGCAATTGATCATAATGTGGGTGAATTCATCTTAAAGAGTCTTACCATTTTTAATAGTATCACGAATTCACAAAAGAGGACTACAATTGTACTCGAATAGGACCTTTACCATTGATTGAGAAACATCATCAAAACATGAACCAAAGATCCCAAGTGAGAACACAAAGTTTGGCCTTGGATATGGGGAGAATTGAATTCTCTCACCTTGCCTATTGATGATGTGCGATTTGGTTGCTCCCTGCTGGAGGATAGTTCGGGCATCGGACCAATTATGTGATCGGGTTGAGCTACAAAACAAGGTAGTTAGAGTATTTGGAGTGCTTTACCTGGTGTGGGCACTCTGATGCTTAAGTTAGCGATGGAGATTTTGAGAAAGCTGATAGTTTGAAAGTAAGAGAATGCGAGAGCTAAATTGCGCATACCTTGTGAGGTTGGAGGTGAGGCATTTATACAAGCAAGTTGCCGTGGGCCTCATGTTACATGTCCGAGATCATTGACCCATCTAGTTTGGAGTTGGTTTCACACTCGAAGATGGACTTGAGTAAGCTGATAAGGCTTATCCAGGTTTGTCCAATTCGGGCAGCGAGAAGATAAAAGTTGTTGACGTATGTCGTGTTCTCAAGGAGATCGAAGACAACTAGCTTGCTTCTAGGAGGCTATGTGGCACCTCGGCAGGTCGGTGGATGTAGTTGAGCTACTCAGACCTTGGTCTAACTGGATGACCCGAGGTGTCCCGATGTGACTGGATTGATGAGGTGTTTGAAGCCGCTGAAGTGTCACCACGTTATTATGTCGCTCCACGTGTCATCTCATCATTAGACAGGCCAAATTATCCTTCACCAATTGCCCCCCACTCCCAAACCCGACATAGTCAACTCGAGGCGGGAGTATTATTGAGATGAATGGATTTGGCCCAGTCTTCAGTTCAGTTGTGGTTCAACCAATGGTTCAAACCTGATCGACTCACTAGACCTTAGGGGCGAGGTCACGTCTCGGGCACGCACGGATGTCACGCGAACATTAATCTCTACAGATGTCAAAAATGCACTCAACTATTTTTGCCTCGAAATTCGAACAAGCACACCCCTAGGAGTCGTTGGATCTGTTCGATCTGGACCGTCCGTGCTTTGCTAAGGCGGCTTTAAATAGGGCCCTTGGGGACCCATTTCCTTCATCCCTTTTTTTCCTCTGGTGCATTTTGAGGTCGTAGAGCACATTGTCATCGGTGTCTTCTATCAGGTCAGTGAGATTAGTCATTTCTTCCCTTAGGTGAGTCGTCTGCCTTTGCTTTCATTCCTTGTTCTTTTCAATTATGCCGAGTGGTGAGTCTGGTGAGGAGGGAGTACAATTCGGTCAGGCCGAGGAGGGGTCCTCAATCCAAGACTGACGAGGTTCCCATAAAGGGGCTTCGTCTTCCCATCGACCACCTAGGGCTAGAGTGCCAGACCACTTCGGTCCTACTGAACTGTCTGCCGAAAAGATCCACGGCCTCGCGGCTCGGTATAGGTTCCTTGACCACCTCGATTACTCCTTTCCTATTAGAGATTTCCCTTGGAAGCATGAAGAGAATGAGGTCACCATCTTTGAGGAGGCTCTGAAGGTAGGTCTCTGGTTTCCACTCCACCCTTTTATTCCCAAGGTCCTGAATTACTATAACATCAGCCTCAATCAGTTGCATCTGAACTCCATCTGTACCTTGGTCGGTACAATTTCTCTTTGGTTCCATATCGACTTTCCCTTAGACATTAAAACCTATGCAAGCCTCTGCCAAATAAAGCAAAACCCTACTAGCACCCCGGTCAAGGTTAGTTATTACTAGTCTTACTGGCCCTAGTACAAGCTTCTTCATGGCTTTCCCTCTAAAGTCCTTGCCTAGAACACTAAGTACTTCTTCCTCACGTTGTCTAGTGGGTGGCCCTTCCCAACACACTGGAGAGAAGGAGTGAAATACATCAAGGAGGAACTAAACGAGCAAGTGCAGGCCAGAGTGCGGAACTTGGTGGACTGCCAACTGATGCTAAGCGACTTCTTGGCTGAGGAGAAGATAATCCAAGTCGGGCTGAATCCTCCGGGTAGGTCGTCATTACAGGTTCAAGTGTTTGCTTTCTTTACTTCATTTTAATTTGACTAACTCTTGGGCTTCTTGTGTAGGAGACATGTCAAGCATTCTGACTTCAAGGTTTCTTCAAAGCATGAGGAAGAGGAAGAAGAGAAAGGTGTCACACAAGGATGCTCCTTGGGCATCATCTCCTAAGCTCGTTGCATCGATTGCTGCCGAGGCAGTCCCAGTTGTCGACCTGGTGGGGGAAGATCAAGTGGAGAGGCCCTCACTAGAGATCGAGGTGGCCCAAACGTTCGAGCGCACCCTTGGTAACCTAGGGCCCCAACATCTGAGGACACTCTTGAGGAGAGGCAGACCATCATGGACTTCAGGACCACCTTAATCAAGAGCAAGGAGGCCATCTTCCCTGAGGAGGTTTCTGACCTTTCTAAGACGCGGTCTAGCGAGCTTAGTGGCAAAGTTATGCACTTCCTCGTAATGGTAAGCTTCCAACTT